TATATTCCCATGAGCTAAATATTGATGTCTATTTTGAAGATTTTAATGTATTGTGTGTTCTTGCTTATCCGCCTGTTCAAGGAAAGACATTCTTAAATGGATATCAAATCCTACCTTGAGTAGAACTTACCAGACAGTATAGTTCACTGCAAGGTCGCCGTTTTTCTACTTTATTTTAAATCGGTTTTATGGTAATCGACTCCATTATCTGTATATGGCACTGCTTATCCGCGAGCCCTACGGACCGAAGCAAATTATCACAGGCTTTATTTGTGGGTTTTTGATTTTCTCTGCTACATTTTTTTCCTATAATTAGGTTTCGTATTTACATTTTGTAACCAAGTTAACTGCTCCCCCTATTAGAGTCTTAGGCTGCGCAAGTAATTTGTTTTTCCCATTTATTGATCGATTTTTTAAAGTTTATTTTGGACTAGCTGGCAGTGACTTTCATCTTTCATATTTACGCCAAGACAAACCCGGATATACGGGATTCTTTCTTGCCCCAAAAAGTCCAATTTTTGTCTGTGAAGCCCTTCTGATAAAGGTTGCCACATGAGCATTTCCTTAATCTTTTTGCTCAAACCGGGTTTTTGTTTGTATGACGATCCCGAGTCTACGCACAATTGGGCTCCGTTTAGTAAGTAATTTACTTCCTCTCTGACCTACTAAATTTCAGGTGTCGAGTCGCTACCTGGTGCCCTTCCTTCTTAAGACAAGATTTTGAGCTTCACACCTCTTATTTTTCGTTTATAAGTAGTTTCGAGACTACCAATAGAGTTATATGAGACCTGTCACCTTATATCGTTTAATGTGATCAAGGACTAGTGGTAGAATTTTCCTACATTGATATGGGTAGAGCTGACGTTTCCATTGAGTTTCAGAGTCTTGCTCTCCTAAGTTGCCCTCAACCAGGGTGGACTGAAGTTTCGACCTCGCATAGGTCTTATCAACAGTCACAGCGGGAGTCGAATCGCGACAGCGCAACACGCGAACCTGACACTTTGTACACTCGGCCACAGGGCATATGCGAATTTCAAAGAAGGCTAGACCTTTTCCAATATCCCATTCTTGTGTGAGTTGTCGATGAATCAGACGTATCCTTGCTAAGAAAAAACAATTTAGGGGTCACATCGAACAAACTCAGTCGCGCGCATGGCAACCACCGGCGCATCATCTTCCGGACGAGTATCCCACATAAATCAGTTGAAAATAGTTGCAGAGCAACAAGATTGCCTGATCCGACTCTTATCACTCTGACAATCACCCTACATGCGATGGACAGTAAGAATACAATCATAACGGACGAGCTCGGGACCATTGCCCTCACCGATCGCCCTGTAGTTGTGACTTAATTACACCTGCCCCTAAAGCAAATCTTATTTATTATTATCAGATTGACTTGTTTGATAGGATGAATATTCATGGGCATCATCAAAGGATAGTTTAAAATTGTTTGATTCGTGAACGGCAGACAAACCACAGTGTACCCAGGATAAGAAGTAAGAAACCTAGGGATGCAAATGAAACAATAACTGATGGATAAAGTAGGCTCAAAACACTGTCGAGGGACCACGTACCGGAAGCAAATATTTATCGGCGATATGTTAGTGGAGGTAATGTGCACCAGTCCCACTATTCGAGGCCGATCTGGACGAAGTTAAAAGCGAATAAATGGTGCAACAGATAGACTGACTTGTTTGACGACTGGAATGCATAGGACCTGGAGACAGCATGATTTCTATTAGACGCTTAAGAAGCAAATCGTGCGTCCCGCTGCATACCGAGGCCCGGGGAGGTGCACCAGATACAAATAAGCGACTGGCTAGAGCCCATTTGGTATAAAGTAAAGGAAGAAGAAAGTCAAGCGCTGAGTTTAGGACTATCAGGCCTCTTGCTTTGTTCACTTAATAATGAAGATGAGTAGCAACAAAATCAAGTAGCTAGAAACTCGGAATAATAATTCACAAGCTAACGCATTCAATTTTTTTAAAGCAGAACCACCGAGCAGCTTAAGGATGGATAATACCATGAGGTGATCTGAAATGTCGATTATATCTAGCTAACTTGGAACTAGCTTTAGTATGCAAACATTAAAAACTAACTCAATGAATGGAAAAGGTATAAGGACACTGGGTGGAAGTGAGATAAAATATATACAGAATGTAACACTTCATGAGACTAGTCGACCCAGACATTTGAAAGCAGAGCCGTAAATAATTATATTCCCGAAACTAGTAAAGACGGAAACCAAGCAAAACGAACTAATATACTTAACGATCGGGATATCTGACTAACAAATCACTAAGACATATACTTGTTGGAATAGGGAACATCTTGGCTACCCCAAATATAATATGCAGAAAACCAGATTAAAGAAAAATATCATTGCTTAAAAAAAAGGCGCTTAACAAGACGTGTTTCTTAAATGAAAAGGACTAGACAAGATGTACAGCTACGCTACACCGGAGGAAAACGATTTTCTGTGACCGTGGAGAGATCTACATACCTTTAAAAAATCATAAGCAAAAATCTAACTGTACCGTATTGTTTTCGGCACTCCTTAAGCGCCTCCGAAAAGCCAGAGCAAAGTAATAGATCGCTTTGTGTCTGAGTGCACTTCACTAATTCTTCTAAGTGAGTCTGACAGGGATTCTGATCGTATCTTTGTGTCGATTGAGTTTGAGGTTGAGAGGCTTCACTACTACCAGAAAAGGCTCCAGTAAGCGCATGGCCCACTGTATGGCCAACGGCCGAGCCAATAGCAACACCACCAGCAGTTGCAGCCATCTGTCCAAGCAGACCAGGTTGCCTGGGTTGAGAGACCGCTGGTAATGCTTCGCGGCGAATTGCAGGGGACCGCATGGGGACAGATGGCCTAGAAGGCGAGAATGACCTAATTGTAAACTATATAAAGAAATTATAAATACCTATTGCGGGGCATGTCGTTGAAGAGGAGTCCGCGAAGCTAGCGCTAGGTCAACAATAAAAACCAAATAATAAATATTAATCTTTGATTTTGTAAATTTTTTAATCTTATTTAAAATATAAAAATAAAAAAGTTACTATGCGAATACTTAAAGAATTGGCTCTTTATTCAGATGGCATAGATAATGCATCGTAACTGGGCGGATTTGCACTTGTTTAAAAATGAATTAGAACTCATTACATACTATAATATACCTTATAAAAATTGCCGTATACTAAATTTTGACTGCGCTTTATCGAATTGCTTTGAAAAGGCTATTACCAATAATCCAAAATTACTTGAAGGAAATAGCTCTTCTAGGCCCTCTAAAGTAGTGTCTAATATAATTATGAATTATATATCCTTCCGTCGATTTTTTTGTATGAAGCCTAAGAAAATCCAGCCTTCTAGAAAGTCCTGAAGCCTTGGCTTAAAATGACGCTATAGCAGAGCTAGATATTACTTAGGAAGCGATTAAAGTAAATACTAGTCAGTGTATATTTTGCAACTTTGCGATTAATAAATTCTTTGGTTTCGTCCCTGACTGTGGTGCCTCCTCTTAATATGTCATCCCGGACTCTTATTTTCCAGGGTACCTTATTTTACATTTTGGATATTTGTAAATCATTTTTAAAATTAGATATCTACATATTACCCCTTGTCTCACATATATGCTACTAAACATGATTTATTTGGCTTTTTAACTGTTATTTAGCACTACTTTTTAAATTAAATTTCTCCTGCTCATCTACATCCTAACTAACATTTGTTGATTGAGTGCCATTCCAATGAGTCTTTAAGATATCTAATTTTATGTGAAAATTAGGATTAATTGAATTATTATTAATTTAATTACACTGCCTATATCTTCTCTGATTAAGATATTTGGCTATAATTTTTCGCATTACGTACCTAAAATATTTGTTTATTAATTATATGCATGCTGATATCCTAATATGTTCTTCATTTATGGCTTTGAATGATAGCTCTGGATGGCCGGAACAATCAACCCATACGTCTTCAAAATCTTTTACAATAGCTGTATTCACTCTTTTTCGTTCATAGTGATAGACGAATACTAGTTGAAGTTTCCTGGATTAATCTGGATATGCCTTAAGTTTCACTGAATTTAATACTATTGCTACTTAAAGGTATTTTCATACAGGATTGATTGTAATTTTGGGCTTACCTACGACTCAACACCACCAGGTCTACTCTGACTCGAGTAGTGTAGCATATACTATCGCTAGATAAGTTGATCTCACCTATGCTTGGTCGGAATTGCAGTCTAGTTGGAGGATAACTTTTGGAATTTAAGACTTGCACATGAAGTGTATAGCAGTTATTGAGTTATCATATCTTTTGAT